CACTTTTACCCCGGACCACTATTCTAAGCCGCACACTGCCATTGAAGCTCGACCTCCTTGCAAAGATCAGTAGGAGCAGCCCACAGATCATCACACTGGGTGTTGCAAGGCGTGTTCTCAGGAACGAAAACAAGGAACTCATAGTTCGGCATCGGCAGGCGGAACTGGTGGTACATGTCGTTATTGTACTCAGACGCCTTGAAGCCAGCACGGCAGGCGCAGTGGAAGGATGTACCGGTGTTGATGCATGAGGTCGACGGGTCACACTGGTTCTCGTCTGAGATAGGGTTGCAGGTGCCGCATTGGGACCACGACCCTGGTGTTGAGTCGGCGGCCACCAGGGAGGCGGTGGTGATGATCATAGCGATGATGGGGAAATACATCTTGATGAATGGCTGAGTTTGAGTATAGACTTGGAGTAGATCCGGTGACTTGTGTCTGGGGATTGTGTTCTGATGGCGTTATCTTCTGCTGGGAGATTTGCCATCTTATATACTCATCTCCAAGGGTATATATGCTCATGTAAATCGTTAGCCTAGGCGTGCTCCTTTGTTGTGGAAGATGTTATTCTCCCTGTTCCCTGCGAAGACCATCAGCCTTGTGTTGCATCACAAGGCCATTCTCGGCCTGGGCTCCCCAGTATATTTTGTAGGTTGGTCCATGAACCCGGGTTCCCAGTATAGGCTGGTGCACGAAGAAGACAATATCCATACATTGTGCCACCGTTGAATTATATTCCATGTCGGTTGACTTCTGCAATCCTGCATAGGCTCTATCTGATACTCTATGATCGGATAGGACAGCGAAGCAGAAACAACCGGGGTTGGGAATACGAAATCTGGAACAATTCTCAAGACACGACCAATCTCTATCGGTCAAGGTGATATCGATGGCTTATTAACTCAACATTGCCTTTGAGCAATATGCCTAAGACTGTTCAGCTTTGGGAACATCGATTAAGGACAAGGCTTGAGGCGGGATGCATGTCTCAGGCCAACCCCCTCGCCACATTTAGATCTCGACGTCAACAGTCGTATAGAAATGCGGAGATTTTGACTTCCCAAGGTAAAGGTCTCACAATGCTTAAAGCTTTGTGGCTACGAGCTGAGATTTCTTTGACCTATTCAGACTTATGCAAAGGCCTTTCTTTTCTGCAGGCTTTTGGAACATGACGAAAGGCCGGCGAAAGCAAGCGAGACAGTCTAAGTTGGGCACTGGTTACTCGAGGTTAAGGCAGGGGCTGTGGCACGCTGTTTTTGGTTTCTATTTACACGGCATGCCATCAAGGGTACCTAGGTAGGGGTTCTAATAATCCGAGTCAGCATAATGATATCGTGTTGTCAGATGACATTTATTGGCCGGTAAAAATTATATTCTCATCTAATAGTCGGCAGTCGGGACCGGTCTGAGGCCCGAGTCTCAAGCATCAGCACCGAAAGACGAGGGTTGACCATGCTGATCAATGGATTATTGAAAGCCGATATTCACATACTATGAGCTGTTTCTTTATCTCAGGTGAAATGTAACCCGTGGGCAAAGGATGCCTTATGCTAACTAGATAGCATTTAACACCACGTACAAAGCCAGTGCGGTTGAGACTGCAATATTGGAACGGGATTTCTAAGTATGAAATGCCGGGTTCGAGACTCTTCCTTTTGGTAACTTTAGACACCGCTTGTGAGAAATATCATAATAGTGGACGAGACATGTTTCATTGGTGGGTTTAAATACAGCTGGAGACGTGGATACATGGAGATATACTCCGGTGTATTCAAGAGCTGTACTGTCTTTCTCGTACATAGGTGCATGGCTAGTAGCATTTTACATGGTAGCCTAAAGGTGCGTCTTAGATCCGTCCGGCTCTCCGATTAGCCTCAAAAACGCCTCGTGTACCTCATCGGTCAAATCACTGGCCTGCATGCTGCGCCCCTTGGCCGCAAAGGCTCGTCGCGAGCACTCTCGTGTAATGCTACTTCCCGCCCACGCCGCCAATAGCAGAGTTGTTGTCGGGGACATGCGCTTGTTCTCAGAATCGAGCTCTGCCTGAACCTCATCCTTGCTCTGCGCCTCTTTCTCGTTGTCCTGCTCGCCAGAGTCCCACAATTTGTCGTGGTAAGCCGCTCGCCAGGCAAGGAATGTGCCCAGTGATCCGGTCAGAGTGTCTCCTTGACCGCCGCTACGCTTCAAGCCACCCTTGCCATCAGAGATGAGACTAGTAACCCCGTTGGAGATTACATCTTGAGGGCCCTTTTGGAGAATTGTCACACCGCCGAGTGCTTGAGATAGCTGCTCACACGCATCTGATGCTTTGCTGGTGGTGTCGCCGTCTCCGCCTTCCGCGATCTCCGCTTGGCTGGCGACCTTGACACCCATCGCTTTGGCGAGACGGCCAAACTCTACCACGTTTGGCGTGAGAATGCACTCCTTGTAGCCTTTGACCAGGCTTGGGTCTTGCGTGACAATCAGCAATCCATCTGCATCCAGCACAAATGGGATCGATTTTGACCGCGCCGCTCTGATCACTTCAGCAACCACCTTTAACGTCACGCCGTCGCGGCCAAGACCCGGTCCAATCACAAGTGCATGGAGGCGAGATAGCATCCCGATGATCGGGCCCGCCAATGATGGTGCATCAATTGAATTGGGATCATTGACAGTGTCGGTGCTTGGAAGCAATGGGTGTACCATCAGATTGGGAGAGTAGCCCTTGATAACCTGTGCATTATATGTTTAGAGTGGGTTCAATCTACCTTGGATGTTAGCTTACTGGTGCTGCGGATCGTTCGCAGAGTACGTGGCTCTGGTAGTTGTTAGTCATTTGCATAAAGTATATCATCTTTGGCACAGACCATATCACATCCTGCAAATCGAGAGTCAATATATTTGGTGGACAGGATTGGCCTGTTTTTGGCCTGTTTAGGGGACGTACCAAGTCTTGCAGAGGCCATGGCTGAAAAGTATGGAGCTCCGGTGTAGCTTATAGCAGTTAGTAGAATGCCAGTGTCATCAGGCCGAGAACCTACTCCACGCAGCCTCCAATAACAGCTACACGGCCAAGCTGTCCTAGACTAATAGTCAGTGGGGATGTCCATTGCGAGATCATAGCGTCGATAGCTCCTGATCAACAGACCTTTGTGGAACTTTTCAAGCATCGGAGGTACAATCTTGCGCACCTTGCCGAAAAGCACTTTTGACGAGACCGAGACATGAACAGACTCCATGGTAAATATGTGAGATAGTAAAGAGAACGCGAAATTGTAGAAGACAAGAAGGTGCGGGTGATGTCACCCAAGTGGGGCCTAGACAAGCTTGAAGTTCCAAGGTCGACGGATAGCCGATGTTCTTCAATGTTGAACTACAATATATAGAAAGAAAAAAAAAAAAAAAAAAAGGTAAGTTGGTATTGAAATAGCGCTCGCTATTGATAGTGCTTCAAATAAATAAAAATGAAGGCACCCCCGTCTATGGACACCCCGAACGCTCATAATGCGGAGTTAATATGTAGTACCCAAAACAAAAGAGATAGAAAGTACTGGGAAGTGGGAAACCAAATATGAAAGTATAAAAATATCTCAAACTTCAACGCTTGCTCCTAGAAGCAAGAGCAGCCAATTTCCGCTGGCGCTCCAACTTCTCTTTCTTAGCCGCCATTTCTGCTCGCAGCTCTTTCTCATCTTCCCGCTTGGCATATTCCAATGCAGCCGCCTCTTCGCGGTCCACGTCGTCCATTCCAGCCTCCATGTCGGACGATGCATCGGAGTAGTAATCGTCGTAACCACCAAGGTCGCCCTCGTCTTCCTCATCAGTTCCGAGATATTCATTCTGTCTGGAATTGCGAGACTGGTGTCGACGGTCGTTTCCACCACGGTTTGACGGCAGGCCCGCAGTTCCACGGTAGGTAGGCGGCTCCGGAGTCTGTGTCGGTTTGGCCGTGCCTCTGTATGAGGGTCCCTGGGAATCGCGCTGCCGGACGGAAGGCCTATCCTTGGTAGAAACACCCGATCCGGCCTTCCTTCCCAAACGCGCTTCTTTTTCTTTGGCCTGGATTTCCATCATGCGACGCTTGCGCTCTACTTTGGTAAGTCTTTCTTTGGGACCGGCTTGGTGTCGTAGTAGGCCGACTCCCACGGGCGCCGTCTCTTGCTTAGCCTTTGCCTGCGCCATGATCTCCGCAAATGATCCCTTTGGTGGCGGCTTCGACTGTGTGGCAGCGGCTGCCTGGGTGGGTTTGGGGGCGGGCGCCTTCTGTGAGGGTGCCACTTTGGGGGCCGCAGACAAACTGGGTTTGGAGGTGGGCTTTGGCAGAGGTTGTCTGGAGATGCTGGTCGAGACTGGCTTTGGCGCAACTCTGGTCGCTGTGGATGATACTGCTGGTCTAGTGGAAAGCGTAGGCTTCATTGGAGCGATGTTATTTGTCGCCTTGCTTTCAGGTTTTGGTGGCCGAGGCAGCTGATCTTCAGCTTTGCGCTTGATACCTCCACTGACATTACCACTGGTAGGAGGCGCCTGTCGCACAGCGATCGGTTTTCGGTCCTCTTTTTGGGGGACTGAGGCAGGCGCAGGCGAGGCTGGTGCCTGAGCCGGTGGCAGCTGGGTGGGCTTACCCGTCTGGAGAGATGAGAGAACGGAATCGAGGAACTATTATATGTCAGTCAAAAATGACCTGAAACAAAAAGATAGGCAGTCATACACTCATTGTGAACTTGTTGGAAGAATATCCCGAAAGGGGTAAAATCGAAGAGTGGTACAGAGAAGAAGTCGCTCACCGTCGATATTTGGTACGACTAAGTAACTTCATGACTCCGAGCCCGATACCATGAGAATAGATCTCTGGCTTGGCTCGCTCCGGATTTTCTGTTATTCCAATATAACAGAACTGACACAAGCAAAGGACACGCCTGACTTGGCCCAAAAGCTTCCAAGTGAGAGGTATATACTGCGTAGGCGAGTAGGAAAGGCAGAAAGGTTTCTAGGCCAGCATGCAATTATCAAGGCCGGATATGAAAGGGTCACGTGGTAGCAAACACTGCGCCACACCCACTCGCTTAGAAGTCCCGCCGACACTAGCCACACCCACTCGCACCACCTTTTTTTCAAGATTTTGAGCGTTCGGTTAATCCTTCGTCAACCAACCTCTTCCACCAGAACTCGACGTTGCAGTCTCCGCCCAATTCGCGGTTAAATCGATTGTTTCTCTTGTTCAGATAATAATCACAAACGGTATGTACATCTCGTTTTCGTGTCTATCAGCCGAATTTGCGGCTTGAAAACTGCGATCGCATCCAATCTTGAATTCGCGATACTAATGAAGATTTTTCGTCCAGTCCTTTCAAAATGAAGTATCTCGCTGCCTACCTCCTCCTCGCCCTTGCCGGCAACGAGGCTCCCTCCACCGCCGATATCAAGGCTGTCCTCTCCTCCGTCGGCATCGACGCTGAGGGTGACCGTCTCGAGAAGGTCATCTCCGAGCTCCAGGGCAAGGACCTCCAGCAGGTTAGTGATACTCGAATGCGCATATATCTGACCTGAACCGCATGCTGACTTTTTATATAGCTGATTGCTGAGGGCTCTACCAAGCTCGCTTCCGTTCCCTCCGGCGGTGCTGGTGGCGCTGCCGCCCCTGCCGCTGCCGCTGCCGGTGGTGCTGCCGCCGCTCCCGCTGAGGAGAAGGTCGAGGAGAAGGAGGAGGAGTCCGATGAGGATATGGGCTTCGGTCTCTTCGATTAAGCGCTTTAATCCAAGGCCTAAAAATCATGGTTCTGGGGAAGAGATGTTTGGTTGGTTCGTCAGTCCGGGCAAGATTTGCGCCGGTTGGCTTCTCAAGTGTGTTCAGTTGAGACTGTTTTGATACAGTTGCGACTTTTCATGTGAGCTGGAATAAGCTCCTACTAGCCAATACAATTCATCTGGCCTTGACTACAACTTTTTCTCATTTTCAATACGTAGTTCCTGAAAGATCGCCAGGGCCCGCTCAGCGTATAAGCAAATAGCGTGTAGCCAAATCTCTCTTTGGAGAACTAGAGGCTTAACGATCCACGTCATGATAACTAAATGTACCCAGATAAGGACCATCAACAACCTCCAATTCTGATACAACGTGCATATCAGCCCTGGGAGGATGATGGGTAATCATAATACAAATAAATTACACTAATGGGGTACAAGTGTTTTTAATGACATGCCCAAGCAAAGTCGAGTAAATCAAGATTACAAAAAGGTTGATTACAAAGCAAAAACAAAAGTTTCAAAATAGATTACCCGTAACCCAAAAGGGTCTAGTGTCTAGGGCTTGGAACCTACCCGTCGCTTAACGAGCGCTGCCCACCTCGTAGAGCCTGTGTGCTAGCAGCCGGACCGCTCAGCGACACGACAATTTCCGACAACTCATCTTCCTTCGCTTTTCGAGATACGGTCGAAAGGCGGTTTACAGGAATATCTGCAAAAATGGCTGACACCGAATACGTGAGTTTTTTTGCCCTTGCCCTTTAAGCCGGTGCAATACACTAACATGGAGTTTTCATCTAGAACGCCGAGGAGGCTGCCGGTACGTTATGAAGAATCAACCCCATCCCTACCCATCGCCCATGGACAGAAAAGCCGAATGAGAGGAGAGAGCGCGCATTACGATCGACTATACGATGAGGATTGAAGAAATAGACGTTGGCGGGGAACGACATGGACCTGGGATGCAGGGATACACGCACTACAACAAGATCGCAGACGCTGACTGAACATTCGCCGAACAGAGATCAAGAAGAGAAGACAGTTCCGCAAGTTCTCTTACCGCGGCATTGACCTCGACCAGTACGTTACCATTGCCAATCATCGATCCCTTGGACATCCATTCGCAGCCAGTGCCTCGTGAGACGGAAATGAAGATAGTCATATGACATGCCAGCAACCATCGGATGATCCGCATGTGGCATTTCGGTTCTCGCCTACTGGGGCACTGCATTGCGAATGGACACCAAGGACCAAACTTTCGCGTGGACATTGGTCTAACTGAATCCTTTTATAGGCTCCTCGACCTTTCCTCCGAGCAGCTCCGTGATGTCGTTCACGCCCGTGCCCGCAGACGTTTCAACCGCGGCCTGAAGCGCAAGCCCATGGGTCTCATCAAGAAGCTCCGCAAGGCCAAGCAGGAGGCCAAGCCCAACGAGAAGCCCGACCTCGTCAAGACCCACCTCCGTGACATGATCGTCGTCCCCGAGATGATTGGCTCCGTCGTCGGTATCTACTCCGGTAAGGAGTTCAACCAGGTTGAGATCAAGCCCGAGATGGTTGGCCACTACCTGGCTGAGTTCTCTATCTCTTAGTATGTGCTCCCGAGATTCGTTCCCTACCATTAATATCAGAGCACTAACAACCTTCCAGCAAGCCCGTCAAGCACGGTCGTCCCGGTATCGGTGCCACCCACTCTTCCCGTTTCATTCCCCTCAAGTAAACGATTTCAAACGATTCCCCTCGGAGTGGCGTGTGGAGGAAATGGTGCTGGGAAAGCAAAAATGGAATTCAGCAAAACTCTCAACTGGGCTCTTTTTTTCAGCATGTATTTCCAGTGCGGGTCAGCTGTTTCCAACTCAATTTAAGATCTTGTCGGCATGAAATCATCTTGGGATCTGGATTTAGTCCCTCGTCGAATTTGACGAGGTAAAAAAAGATACTCCTTCCCTCGTCTCGCTTCGGTGTCATCGGGGAAGGAGTCTTAAATCTAACGACACTACAAATTTCATTATCAGCCACATCGTAGGCCAGTAACCCAAACGGGAAGATTAGACAGCCTATGGCCCTGAGTCTAGGTCATGTTCGTTGAGACTACATCGTATTACCGTGCACTGCTCCACAAATTTGGACTCCGCTACCTTGACTCTGGGGAAGCGGGATGTCCTTTAATTTATTGGCTGGGTTTATCAAGCCTCACTACGTGCAAATGTCCTATTGAATATAAACTAAGAATTGACAGCACATCTCCAGTAGAATGTCGTTTCGTATATATTATATTTCTGCATCACTGCTCATGACCAGAATATATCCCTGTCTACATGGGATATATTTCCGAATGGTCTCTTCCCAAATGTGGCGGCTACTCCAGATTGTTGGATTTATAGCATGTCAACATTCTATTTGAGATGTCTTACTATATATTTCCTGCTTCTCATAATCTTGCCTTTCATACGGCACTCGGCAAGGTCCGTGACATATATATTTGGGGAGGCGGTCAAAATGCCGAGATCTCCGAGTGCCGATCTCAACAATGTCAATGATCGCAACAGGTATGCACTAATCTCAATAGAGCATATGAATTATTTGGACTACGCAGTGCATACTATGTAAGATTGAATCCTTCAGCCCAATACCAAAAAGTGCAAACCCTAACAAAACAGTAAATCGGGTGGGCCTTCGGCTGAGTAGTGCAAAGCGCCGAGGCAAGCCGCGAGCCGAGAGTGCGGAGAAGGACTTCTTTTAAGTAGCTCGGTTGTCCCTTTCTTTCATCTGACAATCCTTGAGCCTCACATATTGGCTTATATTTCCCCACAATGCCCGTTCCCTCCAATTACCCCCTGGTCGACATCCCAGAAGTGGACCTCTGGACATTTCTATTTGAGCGCAAGGACAGAGCTTATCCAGATGATAAGAGTACGTGATTATTGATCCTCTGTACAGCATTTCTTTTGAATTTTCTTCATACTGACATACCCACCAGTTCTCTACCAAGATGCTGATACCCAACGCCATTACACATACAAATCGCTCCGCGATGCCTCGCTGGATTTTGGAAAGGGCTTGAAAGCTATCCATGAGTGGCGCAAGGGCGATGTACTGGCCCTCTTCACGCCAAACAGCATTGACACACCCGTGGTGATGTGGGGCACACTTTGGGCCGGCGGAATTCTCTCGCCTGCAAATCCAGGTTATACGGTTGACGAGTTGGCCTTCCAGCTCAAGAACTCCGGTGCCAAGGGCCTTGTAACGCAAGCCCCGCTTCTGCCTGCAGCGAAGGAAGCAGCGAAGAGAGTTGGCATGTCTGAGGACCGAATTATTCTGATTGGAGACCAGCGGGATCCAAATGCGCGGATCAAGCATTTTACTTCTGTGCGCAATATCTCTGGCGCTACCCGTTACCGTAAGCAGAAGATCAATCCTGCAAAGGATGTGGCGTTCTTGGTTTATTCGTCTGGAACTACGGGTGTGCCTAAGGGTGTCATGCTGTCGCATCGGAATATCGTTGCCAATATTAGGCAACAGTTCATTGGTGAAGGTGGAATGTTGAGTTGGAATGGCGGTCATGATGGAAAGGGTGATCGCGTCCTGGCATTCTTGCCGTTCTATCATATCTATGGTATGGCTCTCAAATTGCGTAGATGCTCGAATGAACAAGATTACTAACTACAAGCCTCTAGGATTGACCTGCTTAATTACCCAGGCTTTATACAAGGGTTATCACTTGATCGTCATGTCGAAATTCGACATTGAAAAATGGTGCGCACACGTGCAGAACTACCGCTGCACGTTCAGTTACATCGTTCCTCCCGTGGTGTTGTTGCTAGGCAAGCACCCGGTGGTCGACAAATATGACCTTTCAAGTCTTCGCATGATGAACTCCGGTGCGGCACCACTCACGCAAGAGCTGGTCGAGGCAGTCTACTCCCGCATCAAGGTTGGCATCAAACAGGGCTACGGACTCAGCGAGACCAGCCCAACTACACACTCCCAGCGGTGGGAGGATTGGCGCGAGGCCATGGGTTCCGTTGGTCGCTTGATGCCCAATATGGAAGCTAAGTATATGACTATGCCTGAGGATGGATCCGAACCCCAGGAGGTCGCCGTGGGCGAGGTCGGCGAACTGTACCTCAGTGGACCTAACATTTTCCTGGGTTATCACGAGAACCCAGAGGCTACTAGGGGCTGCTTGTCTGAGGACGGGTGGTTCCAGACTGGCGACGTTGGCTACCAGGACGCCAAGGGCCATTTCTACATTACCGATCGTGTTAAGGAGCTCATTAAGTATAAGGGCTTCCAGGTGCCTCCTGCTGAGCTGGAAGGATATCTGGTTGACAACGATGCCATTGATGATGTTGCTGTCATTGGTATTGAGAGTGAGACACACGGTTCCGAGGTTCCTATGGCTTGTGTCGTTCGCAGCGCGAAGAGCAAGGCTTCTGGAATAAGTGAGAAGGATGAAGCAGCGAACATTATCAAATGGCTGGATAGCAAGGTTGCCAGCCACAAGCGTCTGCGTGGTGGTGTGCAATTTGTGGATGAGATCCCCAAGAATCCCAGTGGGAAGATCCTGCGTCGGATTCTGAAGTCGAAGTTCAAGGGAGCGGCCGAGGCACCCAAAGCCAAGCTGTAAATGAGCTCTCTTAGACAGACATACAATATACACCTTAGATCTGTTCATGTTCATGTTCGTTTTCATACCCGAAAAATGTATGTAAGACCCGAAAAGTATCCATATCCATATCCAATCCCAAGCCCTTTCCTAGTTTGAAACCTAGAGATTCAAACCCGGACTGAATTCAAACCCGGACTGAATAATCCCTTAAGGAAAGAACCTCTTAACCATCCCCTCAACATCCTCCCCAGCAACAGCATCAATCTTCTCCCTCGCAACCCTCTCAACAGCCTCCTCAACGTCTTCCTCCCCATTAACAAGATCAATCCACCCCTCGGTATCAGTCCTAGCAAGCAAAAGATCCGCGACAATCGCCACATCCTCCCGAGTAACAGCCCCCCGACCCCAAGGTGTGGTCCCCAGCTCCACCTTCCGCTTCGCAGGCTCGTCAAGCAGGACCCCAGGCCGCAGGTTAATAGCCTGGAAAGGTCGCTTTGGTCCAGGAGCACGCTTCCGCTGCGCAGCCAGTGCTGTCATGTACTCGTCGGCTTCTAGCTTGGCTTGCGCGTAGGTCGGGATGATTTCAAAGTTGGTCTGCAGTATCCCCGCCCATTGGTCGTTTGGCATCCAGCTCGGCTGATTGCGTCGGCTGCCGAGGTACGACACCATGAGGAACTTAGTTATGCCTGGTGTGGCGAAGGAGGCTGTCATGAAGTGCTTCGCGGCTTCTTGGTCGATCGCGATTGTGCGTTGTGGGCCACCTACGCCGCCCGCACCTGTATTTCAGTGTTAGTTTGTGGGGGAATTGTGGATTTAGTATGGTTGATATAGAGGGATGTGTGTTCTTTTTCTTTGGGGAATGTGCGTTGCGATGTTCACATAAAGGTGAGTGCGGGGTGAGGGGGTGAGGGGTGTTATACCAGCCGACCAGACGACATAGTCTGGCTTAACCGTGTCGATGATTACTTGGGCATCTGAGGGACTCTTCACATCCTCTAGGCTAGAGAGTAGCACTTTGACGGTGCCCTTGTGGCCCTGGCCTAGAGCTAGAATCTCGCTTTCATGCGCAGGGTTGCGAACGACGCTGGTTACGCTCCAGCCTCGGTTGAGGAGGAGCGGAGTAAGGTGAACGGCGACTCTGCCGTGACCGCCGAGTAGAAGGACATGCATCTTGGATATGAGTTAGATGTGACTCTGTGTGTGTGAGAGTGAGAAAGAGAGAAAGAGAGAAGATGCTGAAGCGTTAGTATTTATGATTGTTGCCACGTAGATCGTCTGTACAACATACAATACAGTTCCGCCGAGATCATAGAGTGCTGATCTGTTCTGCATGTATTTTCCACGAACTAAGTTTTAAGCGTTATACAGGATATAACCTTTCAAAATCTTCTACAAAATATATGCCGTGTGATAACTCAACTTGATTTTCAGACACTCATTCGGTGTGGTAAATATACGGCCTATCAAAGTATAAGGACGGGTCGCGTGGATAGATACCACGACCGTGGCCTAAAGAACAAACATCTAGGATCGGGTTCATCTATTAGTTTCGTAGTGTGCTATAAACATCCACCTTATATTACATTAATAATATAACCTATAACCTCTTAGGGTATTTCGAAAGACTAACTTGCTAAATACCAAAATTATATAGTTATGAAGTACGCGTATTAACTCGAACCAAGTCTCTACCTTTTCTAAAGCCTACATATGTATAAAGATCCAAGATTAGCAGTTCATTGTAAGGCTCCTACGTAGGAACATGTGTGGTCCGTAGTGCCATATGAGCGATGACCTTTTTTTTATAGAGTTCTTCGGAGTTGGAGAAATGAAGTGAGTTGCGTCATCGAGATGGATTCCTGTCAAACGTCCACTGAGTTTGGCTTTGATTTCTAATTGTGAAATATTGTATAGAAATTTAATCTACGAGTAAAGTGTGCTAATCTTAGATGTGTTTTACAGTGTCATCATAAGCTAATATTCGATAGCTTCAGAAGCGTTCAATTTAACCCATCTATAGATGGCTATATAAGTACAATGACCTCCAAAAAGGCAATACGACTGACAACATATTTCACCTCATCCCCTTGGTCATCCAGTCAAATTTGCCTTGAAGATAATCCAGTCTCTGCTTGGTTGATGTCACGCTATAGAGTGATCACCATTTGATCCCCAGCAATCTAGCAAGAAGCGCCGGAAGGCACGTTCTTGCATTTGCTGCTAGTCTTACCACCAGTGATGGCGTTTCCAGCCCAGGTCCAGTCAGAGCAGCTACCGCTACCGCAAAGAATGTAGACATTAGTAGCGCTGCTCGAGACAGAGCCGGTAACCTTCTCGACAGTCAGGCCGGTAATGGGGACACCAGTAGTGGGCTTGCCGGTAGGGCTGCCGTTCTCGTAGTCTTGCTCGATAACGATACCGTAGGAAGAGATCTTGGACAACTTAATGTTGGAGAAGGTCACATCGGAGACTGAACCGGTGGCCTTGTAGATGGTCTTGACGCGCACGCCGTTGGCAGAGTTGGTCACGGTGGAGTCAGAGATGGTCACGCCCTTCACGACATTGTTGTCACGTCCGCCAACGGATCCGATGGAGATACCGTGGCCGCCGGAGCAATAGCCGCCGGTGAATACGATGTTCTAGTAAACAAACGGGTTAGTTAATTTGTTATGGTAAAAGTATCGTTTGACTGCTTACCTCGCCAGAGTTGACAGCCAGGCAGTCGTCCTGGTTCTTAATGTTGGCGTTGCTGATGGTGATGTAGGTGCTCTCGCCAACGTCGAACGCATCGGTGTTGTGGCCACCATTCTTATCACCGTCCGAGTTGTCGATGGTGATGTGGTCGAGAACCAGGTGGTCGGCCTGGACACTGAAAGCCTGGACGGGGGTGTTCTTGACGTTCAGGCCGGTGATGGAAGAGTTGTCCAGGGAGTGGGCGTAGAAGAACTTGGGCTTGTCCTTTCCGCCGTTGGTTCCCTTGGTGTCCCACCATCTGGCTCCGTCGCAGTTGATGACATGGCCTGCTTCACCGCTGATTTCAATGTTTGAGCCGGAGAAGCGGATGAGGGGACCCTTCCACTCCTTGTATCCGAAGGTAGTCTCGCCCTTGAAGATGACCTATACAGAAGCTATTAAAACTTTTGTTCTTTGGCACTTGGATAACGGAGATATCTACCTTAGTGCCCTCCTTCAGGTTGGAAAGGTCGAGAGTCTTGCCGGCAGGGACAGCAATGTTGTCTAGCACAATGGTAGAACAAGACTTCTTGCCGGCGCTGGCGCTAGCAGCCGAGTTAAAAGTGCAGGTCGAGGACGAGCGCTCAACGATCTCGGAAACACGAGAAGGAGCTGGGGCAGCGGACGCAATCGCGGCGCCGAGGGCCAGCATGGAAATGAAAGATGTACGCATATTGAAATAAATGTCCGATCAACAGACAAGTAAAGAGAGTGTAAATGTTCAGGACTAGCCCAATTTGAGTGCAATAGGAAATGAGAAAAGAGTGAATGAATGGATGGGTTTGAATAAGCTATTCCATCGAGCTTGGCCTTGATATTTAAATGCTTGGTCTGGACGGTATCCTGCTTAGAGTTCCTGCGCTAGTATCCTTATGAAACCGGACTATCACCACCTGCCATGAGGTTGACCCCCTGTTCTCAGTCGGAGAACTCATTGGACTAATTCAGGAGGCCCAGGGCGACATTGGATTAATCTATTACTGTTAGCTACACCCATCCTGGAAATTCTCCGAAACATTTAGATCCACCGAGTCTAGAGCCTGCCGAACCGACGATGCCGGAATAATTAACTCGGAATATCATCGGCTAAATTGACCGAGACATGTTGGTTTCAGTCTGGGACGAACTGGTCCTTGTCCAATTAGGATCCTTGTCCAATTAGGAGGTAGAATTCATATCTGCAGGCTATATTATGCGCCGTTGAAAGTCAGGTGGAGCTCCGTCGAGGCTTGTGTTTTACGCCAAACACTTAATTTCAAGAATTGCTCGACATAGGGCTCAAACCATGTAGACCCATCATGGAAGATTTGTGGCGCTGAAACAAAGATCCACTCTTTTTATTCAGAATGCGGTGTTTTGTTTGATTGGTGCCCTATAAGGCAAAAAATGCCTTATAAATCAAGATACTTCAAGATGGTACGGAGTAGAGGTCTACCTATCACCCCTAATCCGAGCATGTGATCATGCCAAATATATTCAAGCACATTGCACTTGATTATAAGCGGAAAAGGGCTTTTTTGCTAAGCGTGACGGGGTAATGATGTGATGGCTGAGTTGTTCCTTATATCCAAGTCAATGCAGTAGGCCTGAACGAATATCGTCCGCTTCAGCTTGCTACAGGGCGTGTAGAACCAAGGTAGTGAGTCTGCTACTACAGCTGGGTAACTAATTTGACATAAACTACGGGAATAATCAAGAAAGCGAGCTAGCCCTGGGCGATGGTTCGTCTCGGAAATTTACGCAACAAAGCTGACCTTGGATGACAAGCTTAGAAATCAGTAGACTTCAATGCTGTCGACAAGTTTAGCAAAGCTGCAATTTGCCTGCTTCAAACGGACATCTTGAAGTCGTGGAGAAGTTCTTGCATCATCTAAGGCTGTGCTGCGATCTGGAATCTATTGCTTTAGCCCCTAGAAACCCAGTATGAGTGCTCGGAGGTTGTCAAACAATATAGGCCACGGGGAAAGTGGCTAGATCTGTTTCATCTACGCAATGTTTGTGATGTATGTTAACATATTGGTCTTTTATAGCATGTTGACCTTGAATTCTTTTTGAAATACTGGAATGGATTAGAAAGGTGCGGTGAACTTTCCGGGTGTTTGATCTAAACTAAACCTGACTCCCGAGGTTGGGGGTATCAACTGTCTGCTTGACATCATCAGCTGTCACTACATAGTTTATAATCCCACAGATGTTCCAGGGCTCTACGTCATGCCTTGCTCGTAATATTGTAAGATCCCCAGTTTGATGGAAGATGAATAGCAATGGCAATTTCAACTTTTGTCATATCAAGTTACTAGGCTAGCTCATCTTAAATTCGCAATGATCAAGTCGATCCAGGCCGCTCAGCGCTTGGATTCGCGGGGACACCCAACCGTTCAAGTTGATCTTACTACGGACAGAGGTAATGTGGCACCAACCATAGATAAGCTCGCTTCTTACACTGAGGCAGGTACATTTCGAGCCATCGTTCCTTCTGGTGCATCCACGGGTGCAAATGAAGCTATTGAGCTGCGAGATGGGGATTCTGCATATGGTGGACGGGGAGTCCAGAAAGCTGTGTCAAACGTCGGAATGGTCATTGGTCCTGCTCTAGTAGAGAGCGGGCTCAAGGTTGATACAGACCAAAAACTCATTGATTCTCTTCTGAAGGATCTGGATGGTACGAAAAACAAGGCGAAGCTCGGGGGGAATGCCATTTTAGGCGTCAGTATGGCATGTGCTAGAGCAGGTGCAGCCCATTCAGTAAGTCGGAACTAAGACGAACGATCGAAAATGATGGCTGATATATATTTAGGGAATTCCGTTGTATAAGTTTCTTCGACGTGAGTCTGGAGCAAAAACGCCGTTCATGATGCCAGTGCCGTTCTTCAATGTATTAAATGGAGGTGTGCATTCGGGCAACAAGATGGCTTTTCAAGAAACTATGATCGCTCCTGTTGGAGCGTCCTCTTTTACGGAAGCAGTACGAATGGGTAGCGAAGTTTACCAGCACCTGAAGAAGATCGTTGTTGAGAAGTTTGGACCCTCTGGTTAGCATACCTTCTCACAATATCTTAAACATTACTGATAATCCCAAGCCACTGGTATTGGGGATGAAGGGGGATTTGCACCACCGATTTTCCAGCCTCATGAGGCACTAGACCTCCTGGTTGAAGCCGTCTCTCTTGCTGGATATACCGACAAAATTAAATTCGCCATTGATCCAGCATCGAGCGAATTCTTCAGGGATGGCAGCTACGATATTGGATTTAAAGACAAACCGAACTTGCACAGCCCAAAACAACTTACGGACCTGTATCACTCATTGTTACAAAATTATCCCATCGTTCTACTGGAAGATCCGTTTGCCGAAACTGATTGGAATAGTTGGACCGAATTCAACAAAGAATGTCCAGTCGAACTGGTTGGGGATGATTTACTGGTCACGAATACCAAATACATCCAGAAGGCAAAGGATAAGGAAGCGTGCAATTCTATGCTGCTCAAAATCAATCAAATAGGCACCATCTCCGAAGCAATTGAGGCGTGGGTATCCCCTTATCCCCTTAGGATCCGGAAACAATCTGATTATTCATAGGGCGAACTTGGCGTACAGTTTTGACTGGAGTGTTTTCGTATCTCACCGGTCTGGCGAGACGACTGATGATTTTATTGCCGATCTGGTGGTGGGATTGAGAACAGGCCATCTGAAATCTGGGGCACCTTGTCGGGGGGAGAGAATTGCTAAGTATAATCGGCTCATGGATATCGAGGATCTTTTGGGTGAATATCTTTATGCTGGTTCTCAATTTAGGGTAGCATCTAAAATATGAAGTATTGAGTATTCCAGATATTCAAGGAAAATATGAATGTTTTGTTGGTTGGAATTACCGAGGTCGGGCTTCTCCGCGTCTGAAGCGGAACCCCTTCTCATCCCCGGACTTCGTCTGGGAATGCTCTAACTTGATATCAACAACCACCCAACATGTCCTCGGACAAGCTCCCAGGGGATACGCTGGACCTCCCACCTCGCGCTGTACGCGACGTCCTTCGCGTGTGCCTCAGTGCCAAAGAATACCGATTCCTCTACGAATCAGTGATCAAACGCGCCCCTGCCGTTCAAAACAAGCTACCCTCTCCATCTCGCTACGATGCCATCGCTCGCCCGAAGAATCGTCACAGTGAAGCTGCTATTCGCTCATCGCTGCGAGTCTTCGTCGGCTCTGGAGTCGCGTTGAAGTTGGCGGATCTGTTGATTACTCGGTTCCAAGGCGCTCCACAGTAAGACCGATTTAATCTATTAAGAGACTCCTCTTTTAGGAATAAGCACTAACGTTGGCTCTATAGGAAAAAGACCCGAACCCCCCTCCTCCGGTCTCCCAAGTTCCGTCTCTCCATCTCCCTCTCCCTCCTCCTTCTCATCCATCGCCTCCTCTACCGCTTCCTTATCCGACTACGAGCCAACCTCCGCACCGACGATGCAAAGCCATTCAGAGAGCGTAACCCGCGTGTCTCGCGGGCGTTGACCTCGCGCTTCGCGCCAGCGATCGGCGCAAGTCTGGCGGGTTTCGCCCTGGGCATCTGCCCGCAGGACCAGCTCCGACTGACTGCGGCGATTTACACAGGCACCAGGAGTTTGGAATTCTTGTTTAATGTCCTGGACTCTAAAGGCTGGCTAGATAAGCGCCCGTGGTGGTTCGGCAGCTGGCTGTTGATGCCCATCTCATTTGCGCAGCTTTTCCATGCCTTTGTGTTTGATCGCGAGACTACACCTAATGTTTGTGGTCGGGAATCTTTTGGTTTGAATTACGGTCGCTAATTTGATGCCATAGTGGTTTGGCAATGTCATTCTCAAGCTCTCGCCGAGCTACATCCAGGGCCGACCGGAGTCGCTCCCGGCCAACATTGCCTGGCCTGAGAAGGAAGAGATCGTGAACTCTCTTGCCTCTATTGCTGATCTCCGCTGGCCGTATGTTTGAAGCCGAGTCTGTTGGAGAGTACAGCGATCGCTAACATGACACAGTGCATTCGTTTCTCCGATTCTACACCCCGGCGACCCCAACACCTTACCGTCATCAGTGGCTTCCATCTCCCCAATCACTGGACCAGCACACCCTGCAATCTCAAGTCTATCGTGTGCTCTCCTGCACCCGAACCTCCCCAACTGCAGCACGGCATTCTTGCATCATATTCTTCTCTCCGTGCCACCGCTTGCGCGGTTCCTCACAACCGTCACTCTGGCACTTTCGATCCCCAAATTCAAGAGTATTCTGCTTCAGCCTATTTCATCAGTGAACACTATCTCCAAGCGTATCATCACTATGACAGCGGTTCTTGCTGCTGCAATTGGCTCGGCCTGGGGTAGTGTCTGTCTCCTGAACAACAACTTGCCCCGAACAACACTTCCCACCAAGCGATTCTTCCTTAGTGGAGCACTAGGCGGTCTACCATTTTTGTTCCTGGGCAATAGCCGCAGCACATTCCTCTGGTTCTTCCGGGCCGCTGCTGATTCGGCGTACAAGACCGGGGTCAAGCGTGGACTATGGAAGGGTCGAAGAAGCGGTGAGCTATTGTTATTTGTTATGTCCTGGGCGCTTATGGGGTCGATCCTTGAGGCGAACCCCGAGGCCGTGCAGGGTGGTGGATTGCGTAAGGCTCTGGGTTGGCTCAGAGGTGATGGATTTGCGGATCCAGTGGATATTTCCAAACGCAAATTGCGACGGGAATCGAAGAAACCCGACACGGAAGTGAATTAACGGGTTAATGACCTCTCTTATGTACCCGAGGTCATAATATTTGGAGTTCGGTGTGGAATTCACTTTCCGACCCCACGTTTGCGGAGATGATCTTCGGAGACTGGCCTCCGCATTTAGCTCCTTTATAACTACACAGTTTGAAAATTCCCCTTATTGATTTTTTTTATTCTTTCATATTCTTGATATTCTTCATCTTCTTGACCTATAAACTTTACACAATGACTGCCCAAAGATTGAAGATCGGCTGTGCTGGTCTAGGCCGTATGGGCAAGCGCCATGCCCTAAACTTTTTGGAGCGTACTCCCCGAGCTGAGCTTGTGGCTGCCAGCTCTCCTGACCCCGTTGAACTCGAATGGGCCAAGACTCACCTCGAACCCTTTGGTGTACGCCTGTACCAAAACTACGACGATATGCTCAAGCATGAAGGTCTAGTTGCCGTAGTGGTTGCATCAGCAACTGCAGTACATGCCGAACAGGCAATCAAGGCAATTGAAGCCGACAAGCACGTTCTTTGCGAGAAGCCTATCTCTACAAGCGTTGAAGTAGTAAGTTGGTTGTATTTTGAATCCATCTCAACCCCATTCAGTCTAGTCTACCATACACAAAGAACGAAACATTGAAACCAAGAACTAACAACCCACCTCTTATACAGTCCCAATCCGTCATCGACGCAGCAGCCAAGAAGCCACACCTCAAAGTGATGTGTGGTTTCTCCCGACGCTTCGACAAGTCCTACCGAGACGCATACCAGAAGATGCAGTCAGGAGCAATCGGAACTGCATCAGTACTCCGCAGCCAAACCTGCGATAAACTCGACCCGAGTGGGTTCTTTGTCGCATACGCAGAGTTCTCCGGTGGGATCTTTGTCGACTGCTCCATCCACGATATCGACCTGACACTCTGGTTCTTCGGCGACGATTGCAAAGTGAAGTCCGTATCGGCTGTAGGCATCACAGCCGTCGAGCCCGATCTGCGCAAGCACAACGACCGCGACAACGCCGTCGGCTTGGTCGAGTTCTACGACGGCCGTATGGCCTTCTTCTATGCTTCCCGCATGATGGCGGCCGGCCAGGAGGATGTTACGGAGATCATTGGAACGAAGGGAAAGTTGGCGGTTAATACCCAGCCGGCACTTAACCATGTTAATATCTTTGACGAGTCCGGGGTGAGGAGGGAGATCCCTCAGACCTACTATGATCGCTTCGAGTATGCGTTTGTTACCGAGGCTAATGAGTTCTCGGCTGCCTGTCTTGATGACACTGCGTTGCCTATTGATCTTAACAATGCTGTTAAGGCTGTGAGGATTGGTGCTGCCCTGCAGGAGTCGATGATTACGCAGAAGAAGATTTTCTTCGATGAGGATGGGAACCGGTCGGAGTTGGCTCGTTTGTAAATAATCTGTGATGTGTCTTGGGGGTTTTGTATACACCATATATACGTTGAATGCTGTTATAATACCCTTTCAAAAATAAAACGATATATGACTTCAATATGGATGCAACTTGTATTTTGATCCAAAGTAGACTCTAACTCTACATATGGTAACATCGATGGGAATCTTTTTAGCAACTCCATTATATCCACACAGGTAAGAGGCCAGTCCTTTGCACAGTGACGTGGTAGTGACTTTGATAGCATTTCCAATCCAGTATACTTACTCACTTTCTAAGGTATGAAATAGTGCGTTGAAGAGCTGAGTATTCTTTCGTCTCTATCAATCTAATTTCTGGATTTGATTGCCTGGAATGATTCCAAGGCCGGGGAAGTATGATTTCTAACGCTAATTGAATGTGATCGCATGTATCGTGGCTATTTTCATAGCACTGGAAGGGGGGGGGAAGGGGAATCATGAAATAATGTGTATAGAATAAAGACGCCTGAAGAGTAGTTCGGAGACATCTACCACTTCAGGACCTTGGTGGGGAAGTACTCGTTGATGAGCTCCATGTAGTAGGGCTAGAAAGAAACAAGTTAGCCTCGAATTCACAAATCATCAGCAGAAGCAAAACATACCTTCAACTCCTCAACACTGGGAATTCCATCACTCTTGCTGTACAAGTCGTAAGGATTGAAAGCTCTGACAGCACGCAGCATATCACGGTCGTGGTCATTCATCAACTCGTGGTATGCACCGGCGCTGTGCCAAGGATAGAAAGAGTGATAGCGGATCATGGCGAGCGCCTCATCGGGAAGGGTCGATTGCTCCTTAGCGAGGTGGTAGAGGTACTCATCGTGGCCCCAGGAGAGCATGACCTTATCAAGACCACAGCCGGGTGTGTAAATACCAAACTTAGTATCG